ACCATTTTCAGTTAACTGCTGAATGCATCGATACTTAACATGAAGAAGAACTTTAATTCGACAAAATTCTTTCCATTAAGGACTATGACATAAAGGTGATGGGCGTGGCCATATAAGTATAATATTTTCTTTTGTAGATTTAAGCCAACGACTATTAACAAATTTGTGTGTTAAATATAATTTAAATAGTGAAAAGTTTTCAAACTCTATTGGCCTTTCACAATATATTGTTAAAGGTAATTGTGATGTTAATCCTATATTTGTAATGTGTATAAATTCATTACCTTCATCACTACCAGTATCACGAAGCCATCGTGGTGCTTCTTTGTTTAGGTTTAGAGAAATAAACGATCTACTCGAACAATAAAGCGGCATACTAAGAAGAAGATGACAAGTTTCTTGTGCTGAAATATCATATTCTGCAATACTATATATCAGTAATTTTTGAGCTACTGGTAGCATAGAATCATCAGACCTACTATCTGATATGATTTGATTTAATATTTCAGAAAACGTAGCAGAACGTGGCTCTGCTTAACTTGCATAGTTAGAAATATACTGCAAGGCTGCATGAGTACTTAGAACTGGTTTAATGTCAACATTTGCACACCAGCCCTATAATTGAAGCCGATTATGTGGGTTAATATATGGATCATTTCTTGCTGTTACAAGTTCTGGTTCTCTACGTTTATCTTCACGCAAAAAGTAATGCTCGTTATTTTCTTTAGGAAATCCAAATCTACAAAGTTGTTGATCTGCTCGATTAACACGAATACAATATGCAGGACTACATCGAGTATGTCATTGTAGCTTGTTAATCAAATCGATATAATCTTGTAAGTTATCATGTATTTCTTCCTTGCGTTTCTGGCATGGATGATGGTCAGGTATTGGTGTATTAAGACCTGGATTAATTGTAGTAACAAGTGAATCAAGATATTGAATTATTTGATTTATTTTATGTTCATCATCTTTTATTTGTTTCCATTTGATAATAGGTGCATTTCATTTTTTCTCAATATCATGTATATGAACACTACCACGATATTGCCACTCAAATCTATAACACCAATCTTCTAGGTCCCATCGCTTTTTTAGTATATTGTTAAAGAAAATTTCGAACCGTTTATTAAAAAACCAGACAGCAATATGAGGGTTATTAATAATATTTTGACGATGATATTCTGAAGAATTATTTTCTTCTTCCACAGAATTTTCTAGAGATTGTATAAGTTCATGAAGTTCTGGCCAATGCAAATCAGCAGCACTAAAGGTAAAAAAAATCAATCTTTGAGAACCTAATTACTTTATCATATCTGATAATTCACATCGTCGAGCATTCTAAAACTGCCGAGATCCACGCAAACCTACTCCAAATCGCATAATTCGGTCTGCCATATATGTATCACTATTTGCAATCATATCTTGGATATTTGTAACAGTAAGCTGGTCATCATTTAAACTTTGTCTAATATAAATTTTTCCTTCTTGCAATGCTCTCCATCGCATCTGAGAATTTAATGCAAAATAATGCCAACGAGTATACCGTGCAAATCTTCCATCTTTAAATTGAAGCAGGTGTTTAAAATATTCTGCTGGTTTGACATCTTTAGCACATTCTATAAGAAAATCAGCATTGCCTGTTGGATATAGAGTTGAAAATGCATATACAATATATCCTGGTGTTTGAAATTCATTAATAGGAGTGCTGTCAATTTGTGGCCATAATATAGGTGGGTTTTCAGACTCTATATGTTCAAGTGCACTATTAATTGCAACTTCTTTATGATTAGTTGGTAGAAAATAAGGTACAAAAGAACATGTAACATTTTCATAATTATTTTCATCATTCAAATCATCAGTTGTTTAACTAGTTTGAAATTGTGGAAGTTGGTCATCAATATAACCTTCTTGAGGTAAAGATTCAAGAACTTCATTGTCGATAGTAATATCAGCATAATACTGATTATTTTCCTTTAACCAGTATAGTGCATTTGCTACAACATTACGACGAACTTTAAAATCTCTAAATGCAATAGGATCATTAACTGACTGCCGATGAATAATTAATATATTTAATATTGATAGATGTAGAGGAAGTTGTGTTGTAAACTCTTGTATATTTTGAGGGAAGTTTATGACATTTTCCTTATATCCATATTGTCCTCCACAAAGTTTATATACTGACATTACAGTAAAAACTTGTGCTATTAACATTTCTTCTATTTCAGTCAAACCTTTAAGCTTATGAGGTATTTTGCCTGGATCCATATTATTTTCAGCAGAAAACTTTTTTGGCTAAGTTGTTTCAGCATTAGACTGATGGCACATATTATTAACAAGCACTATAGATAGAAAGCGCTCATTACATACAGGACAAAGAATACACTGAAACTTATTTATTTTCGTGCGGAATTCTCTCAAAAGTTCTTGTTCTGATATGCTAATATTTGTAGCTGATAATGGATCAACATTTGTTTCTACAATATTATTATCATTTTGAGGTATAGTTGCTGTATTTTTTTCACTTTGAAACATAGCAATGCTCTCATCAGTTTGATTTGTTGCTATAATTACTGCTATTACAGGTCTTTCAGACTCTTGCTGCAAATTGTTACTTGTTCTTGCTTTTCTACGCTTTCATTCTCGATCACGCACAAGCCGTGCTTCACGTTCTTCAGTAGTTTCTGCAGCTATTTTTCTAGCTTTCTGTTTTGAACACTGGATATACATTCTTGATGCTTTTCAGGTGACTCATTTTTTCGATTCTTACGTTATCTACGTGTATTGCTATAAAAAATCAATCTTATTAATAATTGTGACAGATTAAAATGAAATTAAGATTAAAATGAAATAATAATATAAAATCTTTGAAAAATAAATTTTTTTAGTGGGTATTTTTTAGGGCTAGGGGTTAGAATTAGGGGTTAGAATTAAAGTAAAATATATTAAGCAAGTATAAGTGGGATTTAAAAGGTTAGGAGGTTGAATAAAAAATGTAGATTTCATTTTAAATTATAATCTGCAACAATAATTGTGACAGCTTATATTAAGATTGGCTTATGCTAGAAATTTGACTTATTTTATTATCAAAATTACAAAAATTTTTGGGCCTTTTTTGTAGACTCTTTTTTTATAGTTAGGCTAGAAATTAGGGTTAGTATTTATAATAAAAAAGTATATGT